CTCTAAAAATAATCTGATTTTTATTAACTGGTAGCCACTATGACAAGTAGATTTAAACCTATTCACCCCCCCCTCACCTGGCTGTAAGATCTTAGCTTTTTCCAAGCCTGGGATGGATCTGATCACCTGCTCCTGAAGCTCAGGTGGCAGTGTCATCGACACACCTTGGGGGTAAATGACATTGGACTCTAAGCCTTCGGGCTCCAGCCACACCTGATGTTCCCGGTTTGGGAAGCGCAGAACCTTTGATTCCAGAGACGGACAGTACCTGCAACGGTAAATAGCCATGAGCACCACCTGACACGGAGAAAAAGTAACTTGCCAGAAGGAAAGCAAGAGAAACCCACACACTGTCAGGTTGTGCCACTGAGAGCCTTGAATGATGCCATGCTGCCCTGGTTTCACCTGTAACCTTTGTTGTGTTTTTTTTCCTCCTTCCTAGTACCTGCTGCAGTGCTGTGTTTTGGCTTTAGCCTACTAGCCAAAAGGGTATTCCACACCACAGCACGTCATGCCCAGTATATAAACTGTGGGGAAACACCCAGAAGGCCCAGATACCAGGCTGGGTATCAGCTGGTGGGTAGTGAGCAATTGTACAGCGCATCACTTGTGTTTATTGTTTTTTTTGACTTCCCCTTTTAGTTTTATATTCTCTCCCCTTGTCATTTCCCTTATAGTTATCAGTATTATCATTCCAATTAGTTTTATATTCTAGTTTAGTTATTGGATTGTTCTGATCTCAACCCATGGGGTTTACATTCTTTTGATTCTCCTCCCCATCCTGCCCAGAAGGGGGGGGGGAGGGGGTGTGTGTGAGTGAATGGCTGCATTACTGGATGGGATTAAACAATGACACACACACTTACCGTGGACCCCTTGTTGTCTCCCTTATATGGTTGTTCAGGTGGAGATTATCACAGATAATTTCCTGGGCTTTCAGGGTAGTGCGAGTCAGGTAACACAACAGCTGATCTTCTGGCTGAAAGAGGCCAGAGCTCACTTTAATTTAACCCAGTCACAACACTGTACTCTTACTAAACAACTCTGAGGACTTCCAAGGCGGCTTTTTCATGACACTTGGCTCGCACTTCTTAGAGACATGGGCAGTGCTATCATACTGACTGTACAGACAGAAGAGAAGCAATCAGAGAACTTCAGCAATATGCCCAAAAGCAGACCAAGAAGAGAACAGAACCCGAGAGCCCAGAATCCAAGTTCTGTTCTATACACTGTATTCTGAATTGCAGGATGGATATTCCTATTAAAGCAACATTTTATATAACAGCATTCAAATTAACCATAGGACATCAGAGCTCTGAAGTAAGAGAAGTGCTGATCCTACAATAAACAGCCAACTGAAGTTTGGTGAAGAAAATAAAACTGAAACAGAAATCTCTTAAACCCCTGCAATTAACATGGAAAACAAACCCCACCATGTAAAGTATTTCACTATTTTTTATGAAAGTCAATAGACTCACATTCAAAATAATAATAATGTTGCACCTCAACTCCTTAAAGCCTTTCCCACACATACAAAGTACTTCAAGTGATACTACTTTCACCTCCACCCTAATTATAGTAAGTTATTGTAATTCCTATATGCTCTTCGGGCAAATCAACTCCTGATAATTAATTCTGTGCTGTTTAACTACATTATGTAAGAACACCATCAATTTTCTAAGATTTTCTTTGGCAAATTTTCATCTGCTTTCAACTTACTGCAAATATATCCACCTCTGAGCTCTGTGGATAACTGTCTTTCCCAGCCAACACTGTTAATGATCTCCAGTTTCAATATTTTGATCTTATTCTAGAGCCAGGGTAGCAAGCAAGATATCATAAATCTCCACAATATGGGTCCAGAAGTGGAAGTATTTTGTAAAGCCACCCATGTAACCAGCACCTGAATACTATTACTAACAATATCATATTTTATGCAGTTCTGACTTGAGAAGTAAATCATGTTTGGTTCACAAGTTGATAAGTGAGAGGAAAAAGGTACTTGCTTTCAAAAAAAACCAGGCAATTTCTCCCTCTGCATTAGGGATCCTCAGAGACATAAGACCTCCAGTATGAGTACAGGCCAGCTTCCTTTCCCAGCCACCATCAATTTCCCAGCTGATTCTGAGCATGACTTTCCCAGAACCACTCCCAACCCACCTCTACATGCACTTGGTGCATGCTCTCCCACCTTGATCCACACAGCCTCACTAAGGAAGCTGAACGGCACTGGAGGATTGTCAGCTGCACGTTCCTGCAGACCACTGAAGTCAATGGTATCTTTGGCAAGTCGGGGTGGTGTTCCCGTCTTCAGCCTGCCCACAGCAAATCCCAGTTTCTCCAGAGTCTGAGCCAGCCCGATGGCTGGTTGGTCCCCCAGCCGCCCAGCCGGGTACGTGTCCAGTCCGATGAGGACCGTACCCCTCAGGAAAGTACCGGTGGTCAGAATGACACTCCCAGCATGTACTGTGCTCCCATCCCCTGAAACAGCAAGTTTTCAGAGATACACATATTTCAGTATCAGCAAAGCCCTGCTATCCTAGTGCTCTAAAACTAGACTAACTGTTCGCTGAGGGTTTATCCACCTTCTATTATGTATCAGAATCAATATTTCAAGAATAAAAGCATCAACAGTAATAACTGCAGTAAGCAGCATTTCTTATTCCTAAGCATGCTATCCCTAACACAGAAAACCCACTCCTGGGAAAAATTCTTATCCAGGTCTTTATTTCAGAATGCTTGTTTACTAGAACAGCAAGAGGTAATAAAGCACAAGATGCTATTAGTAAGATGCCACTGCCCTGTAGTGCTGTCAGCAGCACATACTGCTGACAAAATGCAGCAGGGAATTCAGCATCACTAGCCTGAAGAAAATAAAACTCATGTAACCTTCTGCTATCCCATCTACTCAGGTATGTTTTTCACTGTATTACACATACTGACCTAGTTTAGTCCACACTCAGTCTAAATCACCTCTATCAGCTAATTCAGCTCTCTCACTGGTGAATCAGAAATGTTTACTCCAAAGGCTGCTCTTAGTGTAGAGGATCTGAAGGTGCTTGCTGAGTGACTAGCACATACCCAGAATGACTCCGGTGACTTGGCACTTTCCAGGATGGTCTGGTTCTGGATCTGTCAAGAGAAGATCCTCCACAGATGCCTCATGAACTGTCAACAGTGGTGTATTAAGGATTTCTTTCTGTCATGAAAGGAGTTATTGCAGAAATCTAGTAAGTTATGAGACATATGGGCAGTCCCAAATCCTGCTGATTTCCAGAACATCTATCACCTTCTTCCCTTTTCCATTCTCACCAGTTCACTTGGCAGACATTCAGTTACTGTACTATGTACTATCCTGATCTATCAAATAGAACTTCTCACACACAGAGAAGAGTTTAAGCTCAAACAAAAAATTTTGGTCATGAAGTCTGGCCTGTATATAAAACACTAGAAAATCTTTTAAACTATGCTGAGCTCCAAGTTTACACCACAGGTTTGATAAGAAAGCATTAAAAAACAAAACAATCGGTGTCTGTGACATGGGTATCCTGACACTTTGGATCTGAGTAATTCATTCTAATGCTCCAGCCCGCAAACATGCAGAAAACAAAGCCCCTGGAAACAAAAACGTGTGTTTTTAAACTAATCATCACTCTTGACTTTGTCTTAAATTGTCCTCACTCCCATTTAACAGTAGCTGCCATTTCTACCAGGCTGCATATACAGATATTCCCATACACGGCTAAATATACACGATTAATGCATCCTTGAACAGGGTAAAACTCAGGGCCCCAGACACTACAGGTGCTCTCGAACCCCTCCGCCCCAGCAGGGCCACAGCTGCAGAAGGCAAGCGCCGCCGCCGTCAGAGGGCTGTGGGACAGGAGAGAGCCGAGGGCAGGCAGCCCGTCCAGCGCACAGCGCCCACAAGGAACCGTCTATGCCTCTGCACATAGCAGTTTGACTTGTAAAAGTTCCTACGAGGGGTGCTCACCCCAGCCCGGCCTCACCTGCATTTGCTCCTTATACAGGCCGCGGTCGATCTGGGCGCGGAGGCCCCACACGGCCGGGCCCTTGCAGCGGTTCAGCACTTTGTAGTGTACCCCGGAGCGGTCGCAGACCCGGCCGCACAGCCCGTCCAGAGCGTCCACCTCCCTCATGAGATGCCCCTTCCCGATGCCGCCGAAGGAGGGGTTGCAGGACATTTCCCCTGCGGACGGGACACACCGACACCACTCAGCACCGTCGCCCGAGGCGCCCGCAACTTCCCCTCCTTAGCCGGGGACACCCGAGGCGCCCGCGGGAAACAGGCCCGGCCCGCCTCCCCGCGGTACCCCTTCCCCCAAGCCCGCGGCTCAGCCTGGCCCCACCGGCCCCCGGGCACCCCCGCGGCGGTACCGATGGTGCCGATCTTGTGCGTGAGCAGCAACGTGCGGGCCCCGCCGCGAGCAGCCGCCGCCGCAGCTTCCGTCCCCGCATGGCCCCCGCCGATCACCACCACCTCGTAGCGCGGTACCGCCGCAGCTCCGACTTCGCTGCCCGCCCGGCGGTGCCAGGGGAGCGGTGCCGAAGGTAGCGCCAGGCGGCACCAGCTCGCGCGCAGCAACATGGCGCCGGCGGCGGAGGCGCCACAAACAGCGAGAGGGAGCGGAACCAGCAGCGGGAGGCGGGTGAGGACGCTTGCCGCGCCTCACTTGCTTGGGGGCGGAGCCGTTTGTGCCTGCGGGGCGGCATCCGCGGGGCAAAGAGCCGCTCTGCGGCCGTGCGCTGTGCTGCTCCGGGAGGTGCGGCCTTGGTAGGCGGTGCCCGTTGCCGGCGAGTGCTCCCGGCTCCCGCGTGCCATACGTCCCGCCTGCGGGTGGGGCCTCCCGGGAGGGGGAAAACGCTCCCAGGGGATTGGAGGGAGGTGGGACGGTGCTGGCCGGCTGTCGGAGCTTTCCCGCGCTTGGGCTGTCGCTGGGGAAGCACCGGGTAGGTAGAGACAGGCAGTGGCTCGCAGCGCGGGAGGCTTGCCCCTCCCGTCCGGCGGGACTTTCGTTTCTTCGGAGGAGGCGTGGTGTCTGCAAGAGGAAATAGCTCGAGGCGAGGGACGGGAACCTTCTCCCGCTGGGCAGCGGCCGCCGGTCAGCGGGCGAGGAGCGGGAGTGAAGGCCATGGACGGTGCCGGTGGCAGAAAGCCGCAGGGCGGGCGCGGGGCGCGGCCCGCAGCTCCGCGGGGCCGGGGCGCAGGTGGCAGCTCTAGCGGCACCGCTACACCCCGGGCGCCGCGGAGGGGGAGATCCACCGCTCGTCGGCGGCCCTCCGCCGCCAAGAGCCTGCCGGCGGGCCCGGCAGCGAGCGGCGGAGAGAAGCTCCCCGCTCGGCGGAGCGGGACAGCGTCCGCCAGAGTCCCCGCGGCACGGAGACGAGCGGCAGTGCCAGACGGGGCGGTCTCGGCCCCAGGGGCTGTCCTCCGCTCCCCGTCGGTAGCGGGAGCCCCGCGGCTCCGGGGAGTGGTGTCGCGGCTGACCCTGGTCCGCGAGGACGTATCCGAGGCGTCGGAGCTGGTGAACAAGGTGGTCTCGCACCTCATCCAGGCTCTCCGCAGCAACGGCGGCAGCTTCAGCTCCATCGAGCGGCTGGGCGCCGGCAGCTACTACGAGCACGTCAAGGTGGGTGGGTGGGGGGGAGGGAGCGAGGCAGAGAGGGGCGACGCACCTCACGCCGGTGGCGGGGCTGCAAGTGGAACCCCGAGAGCCCCGGCAGCGGGGGAGGCGGCGGGCGGCTGGCTGGGCTGGTGCCGCGCAGCGCCTGCCCCTCGAGAACAAACTGTAAGTTGGCCCTTCTGGACGAGAAAAGGATTTAAAGGGTTAATTAAGAACAGTTAATTATGAAATATCTAACTTACTGAAAGATGAATGCGTGTGCACTCAGATGCTGCCTCAACACGAGTTGCTTTAAAGCCGTAGCAAGCCCCTGCCCGTGCACAGCGCGCAGGTAGGCTTGGTGTAACCGGAGTCGGGAATACCTCTGCATGAAAAGCCCTGTGCCAGCTTTCAGTTTGTAGTTTTTCCAATAGTCGGGAGAAATAGCAGTACCTTCTTTCTGTGTCCAGCTCGGTCTGAAACAAAGTCAAGCACGGGAAATTTTTTTTTATTATTATTTTAAAGCCAGCTCCAGGCATAGCAATGCTTTTTCTGCTTTTCCTTGCAGCTAATCCCTGTGTACAAAAGAATGACTAAAACCAGCATTTATGTATTAGAACGGCTTAAGAATCTTAAAACTTCCTTAAAAAATTATAAGTTGGAAAGCTGAGAAATGAACTGCTATCAGCAAATTGCTGTTTTCCACTGCAACACACAGCAGCAGTCTTGTAATGCAAATCCACGGGAACAACCTCACATTTCACCCCAGGCATAAGAAGTACACTATGTCGTAGATAAAACTGCAACTGGTATAACAGCTTAAAGAGAATAAAACCTAAGTTGCACATTGACTGTTTTGTTCTCATGCTTTGCAGATATCAGAACCAAATGAGTTTGACATCATGCTTGTAATGCCTATTGAACGACTTCAGCTGGATGAATGTGATGACACTGGAGCCTATTACTATGTAACATTTAAAAGAAATCCAAAAGAAAGATATTTGTTGAAGTTTTTAGATGAAGAGGGGAAATTATCAGCTTTTAAAATGCTTCAAGAGCTAAGAGAAATTATTAAACAAGAAGTAAAAACCATTAAAGGTAAGTACTGAGAGAACAAGCTTCACCTAAGAGTGCTAAAAATCCAGTTACATTGCCCTGTTGTTAACAAGATGTGATTTTTCCCCCCAGTCAAGTGTCTCTGTGGCAATGTAACTATAACTGCCAAAACTCAGGCTAAAGTTGAAAACACAGCACTGCACCAGCTACTAAGGAGAAAATGACTGCTACTGCTGAACCCGGGACACCTGTCTATTTTGAATCTGCCTGCTGCTGAATGAGTAGCAACAGGAAAAGCTTTCTCTTACACACTACCTAATATATCGAACTATGTAGAAAACATATCCCCTCTTAGGGTCCTCTTTTTTCCCAAGCCTTCAGAAACACTGTGGCCTAATCTCTTTGGTCTCAGTGTTTTCAATAATGAAAGCAGTTCCCTGAAAAACATTACTTCATTTCTCATTCTGTAGACACAGTAAATCAAGCAAACACAGCAGTTCAAGAAGAGTGTTCTTGATTTCTTAGAATTCCTCAATAGGCCTTCTTACTTAAAATCCTGGATAAAGGAGGATAAAGGATAAACAGGCAATGGCTGAACCCAGATATTTCTTTTGACTGATTTTTAAATTCCTCTTAACCTGTTAACATCCTTAAAAAAAGTTTCTAATATAGAAATTTATCTAAAAATCGCTTTCTTCTTTGTTGCTAGATGTGGAAGTAACTGTGCAAAGGAGAAAGGCTGGAAGCCCTGCAATAACTCTTCAGATCAAAAATCCTCCAGCAGCAGACATATCAGTAGACATCATCTTGACACTGGAAGTTCAGCAGAGCTGGCCACCTAGCACACAGGATGGCCTCAGAATTGAACTGTGGCTGGGAAGAAAAGTCAAGGGACAGTTCAGAAACAAATCAATTTATTTAGTAGCCAAACAAAACAAAAAAGAAAAGGTTCTAAGAGGTACCTCAAATACAGACAATAAGTCTATGTTATGAAATACCTTCTGTAGAACTTGATCACTTTCAAGTGCTCTAAAAAAGGGTATCCAGATTCTGTTCAGTATTCTGTTTTCAAGGTACAGATTTTTATCTTATCCTGGATCAAAGACAATTGAAATCTGTCTTTAAAACCATCAGATCTGTGGTACTGCTCATCTTGTATCAAAATCTAAAGACAAAACTACTCTGCCTGGTTGCACACTGACTATTGCTGAGAGCATTATATTAAATCTGCCAAGTCAGACCCATGGATATAAACCTTTCCTGTGCTAGTGCTGTACTCAACAGCAACATGCACTCCTCAGCTTTTTAAGAAGAAAGTAAAAGGAGCTTTCTAAAAAGGCAGGAACATCCCTATAAGTGGGACTGTATACACAAGTTACAGACTTCCACAGGAACTAAACTGTACTTTCCTGGCAAGACATTTGGTTTCTCACTGAACTCATATGGCTACAATGTTCTTTTTGTTTCTCCAGGCCACTGTCACACCAAGCATACATGAGTTTGCAGAAACATCACAATTTGTCATCATTCTATAAGAACTGCTGATTTCAACAAAGAGTTCAGACAATCTGGTATTTTTTTAAAAATTAGCATGCCCATCTTAACAATGCCAAGGAAATTATTACTGGGCTATCTCTTCCTGTGAAATTCAATTGCAAAGAGTAACTGAATCAGACAAGGGAAATAGTCTAATTTATGAAAGGAAGACAAAAATGATTGCTGGTGTTTTTAAAAGAGGGGGTTGAGCTGTGTTAACCACTGGTTTTAGAAACATAGAATCACAGAATGGCTTGGGTTGGCAAACACCTTAAGATCATCTAGTTCCAACCCCCTGCTATGGGCAGGACTGCCTCACCTTAGACCATGTTGCCCAAGGCTCTGTCCAACCTGGCCTTAAACATTGCCAGGGATGGGGCATTTACAGCTTCTTTGGGCAATCTGTTCCAGTGTCCCACTACCTTCACAGTAAAGAACTTCTTCCTTGTATCATGACCAGAAGGACAAAAAGAAATGCTTTAGAACAGCCACCTTACCTGAGACAAACTCACAAGCTGATTACTTGCTCAAAGAAACGGAAACCAATGGTGAAGATTTTTTTATTCAAAACCAGGAAGGTTATGCAGTGAGGCTAATAATGCAGGAGTTCAAAGATAGTGGATTTCTACGAGTAGTGTAAGTCCCCAAATCACATTCAACACATGCAAGAAAGTTCAGAAATTAATTTAAACGTAAATCCAAGCAGTCTGAAGAATATAGTTCAAACATCCAAACAATTAATTATGTCCTATATTAATAACATCCTACTTGTCCTTTGGTGGAACAGCTGGGGAATTCCAGAGAAATTAACTAATTGTAGTCCCTGAATTACATTTTATTTAAGTACAAAGAAATTGCTGATATTTAAAATGAAGTCAATTATAAAGCATTTTTTTTTTTTCCTGTTGCAGACACTGGTACTTGCTGCTGTGTAACAATTTAACAATCTTGTACTCAACTTTAGGAAACACCTGGCGACTCTCTTTCTCGCATATTGAGAAGGACATTCTGAATAACCACGGCAGCTCAAAGACATGTTGTGAATCTGATGGACTAAAGTGCTGTAGGTTGGTATTCCATACAAGTATTTCACTTTAATCCTGTGTGAGCCAGGCTAGCACTGTTTCAGTTTAACATTTAAGAATGTGATCTGAAGCTGATTACTTATAATATAGGGAGCAAGAATAAGGAAGGCTTTTATGCATCACTGTCCTAACAGCAGTACAACACTGCATGTACTCGCTGAACATCTGACTTGCAAATGCTCAACAAGAGGAGGAGACAAATCACAGACAGGTTTACACTCCAGACTTGCCTTGGAAAGCAAAAAGGTACTACTTGTTTAATCTTTCCCAAACTCAGTCCTGTTTAGAACCAGTTTAGAAGTCTGATGCCTCAGCTTTCTGAGCTTTGGGAGTGAATACCTACACTTCATACCAAGGCAGTTTCTACAATGATGATGAGGAAAGAACCTGCTGAATGGGATCAGGATTTTTCACTCACATAAAGACTGTTTTCCACATTTCTTCAAAGAACAAAACCCAAATGAGGTACAGAACCTCCCCTTAATGGCAAAGCAACTTCTTAGTTTACTTAATTACACCTTGTGCTGAAGCAAGAAAGTTACAACTAATGCATAATTTTTTGTCTTTCCTTTATGAAAAGCAAAGACAGACATGCTACACCCCTACCTAGCAGTGTATTAAACTGCATATATCTCTTTTCCTCATGGCATGTCACAAGAAGGTAGTGAAATACCCCAATATATCAAACGGGCAGCTTTAATCTTAAGCAGTGCTCCAAGGTCATGTTATAGTGGGAAGGCTGCACTGCTGACCAACACTTCTTTTGTCTATGTTGTTGTGGCTACCAGTGAAAGTGGTGCACACACAAAACCTAGTTTAAAGTAGAAAACCTTCACTGTTAGAATCTGACTTCATACACAGTAGTTCTGCATTATTCAGCCTATTGTTGCACCTCTTTTCAGATTTTATTCAAAACATCATTGAAAATGTTATTCAAGTAAGAACATTTTATTGTTTTCATGAATACTGCGTATTTAAATACCTAAAATACATATTTAGAACTATATGGAAGATACCTAATAAATTCTTATTTATTTAACAGGAAAAGTTGTCTTAAGCTTCTGAAGCATCTTCTAGAGCAACTTAAGATGAAATACCCCAAAAAGTTGGAAAAATTCTGTTCGTATCATGTCAAAACTGCTTTTTTCCACTCATGTGTCATATGGCCAAACGACACAGACTGGCATTTGGGAGACCTGGATTATTGCTTTCAGAAATGTCTGGGATATTTTCTGGATTGCCTGCAAAAGTCTCAGCTGCCACACTTTTTTATTCCCAAATACAATTTGCTCAGCCTGGAGGATAAAGCGAGCAACAACTTCCTTTCAAGACAAATAAACAGTGAATTGAACAATGGATTCCCAATATTTCAGGAGAGGTTTTAAAACCACTGTTTACAATAACTATCATGTAGATTTGCAGATTTAAAACCAGAAGTTTTGCACCTTAAGTTACTCCTCAATAGTCTGATAAAGAAATCAAAATCAAGAACACAGAAAAAAATTGCATACTTCAGCTATAGCTTAGCCACAACCCTTAAAAGAAATAGGAATTTAGTATTTATCTTCTGTATCCAAATGCAGATGTCGTTTGCAACGTATGCTCATGGTATACTAGGAATGTATAGAAGAATTGGCAAGTTACTTTCCTACATGTAATTTCTATGATTCCAAACAAAGGCATCAGTGACTGCATAAAATGAAAAAAAGACAATTTTATTTAAAATGAAGATCCACTGCAGAATATCAAAAACACGCTCCTGCTTTCAAAACGTAAAGGCACTGGAGTTGCTTTCCTATAAACCAGAACAACTTCTCCGGAACAACTGAGTGGATGATCATCACCAACAGTGAGTGAGCAGAGAGAGAATATGTTATCAAAACATTATGAAGTTCCTTATCTTATACTAGTTACTTATGGAGTCTTCAGAATTGCTTTGGAAATTGTTTTTTTCACTGGACTTTGGATGGGAAGCAATTGTTAGCTAATGTGCTGCAACAAAGTAAAAGTTATTATGCCATGAGCGTTTGTGTGATGTATCTTGTGGAAAGAAATGTATCTTTAACCCATACCAAGGTGGAACAGTCTCCCTGTGAAAGGTTTTCAACATCAAAAATGCAGTATGAATCGGAATTCATGCTCAGTTTTTCTTACACTGAAGAGTCTGTTAGGAAAAAGAGTAATTGTAATTATTTCATATTATTAAAAATGTGCAGGTGATAATACCAGCATTTGGGAATTGTTGTGCTGTAAGTAAATAAGTATTTTCTTTTTCTTAAAGAAGCTATGGGAAGTTAGCTATTCAAGGCCAGGTTGGACATGGCCTGGAACAACCTGTTAAAGAGTGGGAAGTGTACCTGCCCATGTCAGGGGGGTTGGAACTAGATGATCTTTAAGGTCTCTTCCAGTCCTAACCATTTTAAGTCTATATTTTTAGCCAACGTTTTGAAGGCAAAATAACCTACTGGCTTAAATAATGCCCAAATTTCACCTCAATTATGAGCAAATAAAGAGGGAAGGTCAGAAAAACATCTCACTAGATTCAAGTTTATTAATTTTTCCATGTACCTACAGGACACATGACTAAACAAATTCAGACCAAGTATCAAATGAAGTAGCTCCTTCCCATCTAACTTCTAAAGAGTGAAAGCATACCCCAGTGTCATTAAGAATCTGTGTGACAGAACCAAATCCAAATGTAAAATTCAAATGAATTTTATCCGAACTTTCAAACCTATGTTTTCTTCATAACTTTGTTAACACTGCTCTAGTAAACTCTTGGTTTAGTTCCTTAAGCAAGAAAATTACATCTATGATAACAAGAGTAAAAGCTGCTTTTTTTTCAGCAGTTAGCCATGGACATGTATTTCTTGTTACACTCTCCTCCATTAAAAAGAAATGTAGAATTCTCTCAAAAAAAGCTAGAGACACATCAAAACAAAAATGTCTTTCAGTGTTAAGTTTTAAAATAAAAACCAAACCAAACTTGCTTCAGCGAATAGTTAATGCAAACAACAGTTTTCAAATAACTAAGTTATCTTTGGAAAAACTGCATGCCACTGGGAAGTGTGATGTATCAATGCAAAAGTCCAGCATTTTGAAGCCATGCTGACAAATACTGCTTACATTCACTAATCCAGTTCTCTGAAAATAAAAAGAAAAATTGTATTTTACATTCTTATATTAATACATTTAACCAAAAAAACAAAGCAAAAAACCCCACAAACCAAGCAAACCCCAATAAAACCCACAAACCCAAAACCCAACAACCAAAGCCACGGTGTTTATTTTTTAACCAGTAGATAAGGACTTTATAAATTATGCACATCACAAGAAAAAATATTTTCTTTTTAAATGAAATTAATTTTTCCTAAGTGAAAATAGTGTTCATGCACAAAACTAGATTTATTTCTGTATGAAGTTAAACGGTTTTCTTTTCTAAGCCACTTCTTAAAACACGTTTTATTTAAATGGGACAGGTACAGAAAACAATCAACTGAGAAAAGCAACTTCTAAATTCAAGCCCATAGAGGCTAGCACTAACTATAATCACTTACTCTTTTCTTACTGCAGGGGATTACAGTTATCTTGAGGGCTTGCTCTGAGGTCTTCGTAGATCCTTCCCGATTTCTTTTCTAATTTGAAATTCTTTGTATCTTTGTGCCATTGCAATAAGCTCATTAGGAACAATCTGATAAGAAAGTAGCACAAGAACAAGGCCAGTTTTATATAAATCTAAAATTTTAGACCCTACTTTACAAAAATGTCATTGATTTGTGTGCTCCCAAACTTGATTTTGTTATTTATCAGGCCTCTGTCATTTTGCAAATTGTCTTTCTGTAGAGATCCATGGAGAAGCCTTTTTACATAAAATTATACTCAAAAATATACTTACAAATAATCAGCACAGAGTCTCTGGATTTTCAATGACATATTTATACTCAGATCACCTTATCTGACAACAGCATACAACCAGCTAATTAAAACACAAGTATTTCAGGCAGAAATGTATGTCGGTGATGATGAACAGATGAAAAAAAAAATGTCCAACGCCACTGTCATGGCAGACATTGATGCAATGTTTGCTGCAAAATGCAGTACAAGTGTCTACTGACAGAAGAGGTTTTGGATCACTCATCTACCAAAGCCAGCCTGGTTTGACGATCTGCTACAGCATGTAACTATGCAGCAGGTAGGGGTATCCAGCCCAGAATCAGTTTCCTGATCGGAGAGCAAGCTCACACAGTGCATGTGAGCGCAGCATTAATGTGATTGCTCAGCCTTTGTGGTTTGTCTCCCTGTGACTGGCACAAATGCAGCGCAAGCAGTACAGTACAAACACTTTCAAGTCTCCTTAGAAATGCCTACACCTGGCAATGCTTGAACAGGTGAAGAATGCAGCCAGGGCAGTATGTTCCTCCAGTTTCCACTTCTTTTGCCATAATTCAGCAATACTTGCCATTTGCTGTAAGCAATTTTTCTTAAGCTGGCATGAGCGTCAGCTTGCTAGCAGATATTTTACGTGCTGAATTGCTCTTACGGGTAAACAACTGCCCTGGCTATCAGGAGTCCATGCAATAGGATGCATATGGAACAGTCTATTTGGACTCAGTTTTAGACACTGCTTAAAAATAAAGTGAAAAATTATGCATCTCTCTAGCTGAAAATCACTACAGACTTGTATCAAGAGAGATAAGTAATGAGACAAAGCTGGTTTCCAGTTGAAACACTGGATGATTTTCTTTCTTAGCATCAGATCCTCTCCTGCAGTATGAAACAGAGTTTATTCAAACTAATTGGAATTCTCATGTTCGTAGTAAGTGGCATAACATCCTTCAAAGAGTTGTAAACTAGAAAATTCAGGTGGAGTTCTAACTCGAGTTAAAGTTCGAGTAAGCATCCACAATAACAACCACAGATCCTAGGTAAAAGCAATTCAGCTTGTACTCAAACTCCCGTCCCCCCACATAAAGTAAAACAAACAAAACAAAAACAAAACCCAAAGCAACAAAAAAAATCAAATTCCAGTCATATTTCCCATACATCTGTAAGAAAAATAGCTTGGAAAAGTACACGCAGGTATCACAACTGCCAGATATAATAAACTGAGAGATTCTGATACAAATATTACTGGTATTTACACCTTCAAATAAGAACATGCATCCAGAAGTGAAATACAAATGGAATAAAGTACTACAAGATAAAATAGGTCCTATTAATCGTATGCAGACCCCTATGTGTGCTTATGTTAGTTACTTTTTCTTTGGATGTGGAAGTCTTTAAGTTCCTGGTTCTTTCTGGGACTAATCTGTAAGATAAAATACAGCTACGGACAAGAGAGACTTAAGAACCCATTTTTTGTTTGAGGCATTATGAGCACTCACCAAGAAAAGTGTAAGTAGGCATAGACCTTCATGAATCGTTTCAGCTCGTAACCCAGAACCAACATAAATCTTACCCAGCAAGATGTATTCTTACTTGGTCTGTTCTTTCCAGAATTTCAATCAGCTCAGATGCAAACTTCCAGTTATTCTTAGTGACAAGTGTTATTGCCTCCCCAGTACGTCTAAACAAGGAATGAAATGACTGTTGATCTCCAAAACGACTGCTGCTAAACTCTTCCTATTGACCTATACACTAATAAATTGTACTGCAGCCAATATTATTGAATTGGTAAGTAAAAACTGGCTTGAGTATTTACTATGCACATGACAGAGAGCAACTTTTCATAAAGATCAGAATATGGCAATTCACCTAAAATGGAGCAAAAGCACAACTAATTTAGACAATAAACCTAGCATAAAGACAACATATTTAAGTATGAAGAGATACGTGCTCATAAAATGATTAAAACAAACACATGCACAAGAAAAAAATAATGGAAAAAACAAACAAACAAGCCACACTTGTGCCTACCTGGGAAAGCAGCATTCAAAAGTCCTAACACTAAACTACACCTGAAACCTTTAAATTTATGTATGTTTTTCCCAACAGGCCATCCAGAAAACTAAACAACTCGGTGACTCATGAAGAGACAAACAAGGAAGTGACATTTCAGAATACCTACACAGACATTGTTTTGAGCTGCAATTTTTCCCTACATTTAAACCAGCTTTCAAACATCCCTCTTTCCCATCCACTTCAGTGAAGTAACAGAAAAATGGAAAACTTGTTTGCTTAACGGTGAACTAATTTCAAAACATAAAGCACGGTTATCTAAAGCATACTTTGATAGACTTGAAGTCTTCACTCTCCTACCCATATAAACAACTACAGTTCTAGCATTTGACGAGAGAAACACCTATGCAGTGCATAAAGTATTGACAATATATTACTGTCTTCTTGTAAACATTTACCCTGCTCTTCCAGTACGACCTACTCGATGAACATATTCTTCAATGTTGCGTGGGAAGTCAAAGTTAAAAACATGAGTAATATCATGCACATCAAGGCCACGGGAGGCTACGTCAGTAGCTACCAGTATTCTGACTCTGCCTAAAATAAATACAACAGAAAGAGAATGGGAGCTTATGGAATAAACAGAAAATATACTCCAGTCTATTGGATTTCTAGCATATAATGCACTTAACACAAATGGAAAAAAATGTTTGTTGCAAGTCATGCTGAGTTAGCTTCAAATACAAGGTGGTTAAGTAAGCACTCAAAACGTCATTTTACTATTATTTGTATTTCACAAGAAGAACAGCAAGGTGCAGGAGAAGCAAGAAACATACCTAGCTGATATAAAGAGTCTGTGAAAAGAACAGAAACCTCAACAACTTTATTCTCAGCTAGCATCCTTATCATAGGACTACTCTGTTCTATTAACATATGAACACATAACCCCAAAGGATAACCCCTACTGGCATAATCAAAAACAGAATTGTTTCACTGAAAGCACCATCATTTGACACTTAAGTTTACCATTCTGCAGACTAATATAATACTGACTTTTCTAGAGACTTAAAAAAAACAAAATAAGCCTCAAATATTTTTAATTCCTAAGACATTCCAAATTTTATTGAAGAGCAATTTGTTTTGTTTTTTGTTTGTTTGCTTGTCAAATTAACAAAGTAACCATATCATTCAGAGCTTTCTAATGTTTTAATTTCTGCGGTACTGAAGAGACATGGCACTTAGAAATACACAAAATTCTGCACATGACAAGCTTTATAAACCTGGGCTTAAACAAATGAGTACTTTAGTACAAACCTACCTTTCTTGAAGTCATCTAAAGCCTGCTCTCGGTCCCACTGTTCCCTGTTACCATGAAGTGACTGTACTGGAATTCCTTGGAGACTTAAGTCACTTGCTAAGTCATCAGCTCTAGGATGAAGTAAAACAACAGTTCTTAAAAGAAGCGCAGAATCTGGATTTACATCCAAAAGATAATGTGACAACAAGAACTAAACATGTGCCAAAGGACAAAACCCCAGCTAGGTCAGCTGATATTTATTATGAAAGAGTATGAAGGCAAGACTATGCTCCACATAATTTTTTGCTTTTATTTATGTATAAGAGAAATAACAGATTACTGTTTTGTGTTGTTCACTCAAAAAGCTCAGGTTTGGTAAAAAGAGTGCTGCCCCCACGTTGTGTATGGAAGTAAGCAGCACATCACATTAACCAAGAATCTTAACACCTACTTTAACTATGTGAAATTGAGATTTATCACCATTAATGACATTAAAAAAAATTAAATAGAAACTACCAGTCAGTCTGGAGGAATGACTAAGTAAATAAGACTATTACTACTACCCACACATTGTTGACAAAAGTTGTTACACTTTGTAATTACTATGTGAACTAAGAAACTATCAGTATTTGTTAGAAAACAGTGAAGAGATGTAATACTGGGAAGTGATTACATACTTAAGTTTTTTTCCCACAAAAATTATGACCTTGTCTTGCGGCTTCATAGACTCAATGAAGCATTGCACGAAAGCTCTCTTTTCTTCCTCGGCAATAACAACAACTCTCTGTTCGACCGTATTTACTGCCTGTTACACAGTAAAAAGGCATGCTAAGTAACAGATGAAAAGTACATTTTCCCCCTATTTCTACCTAAAAGTGTACAGGGTACTAAGTTTTCTTATTCTCTATCATAAAGAAAAAAAAAAGGGGAACTGAAAAGGGAAAAAAAAAACAAAACCTCATAATTTAAGAGCCAAACTTCAAGCAATCTCTGGACCAGGATGTGGAGATCTTAACATTTCTGTAAATTCTGCTGGTACTGAAGCCAACTGAAGTGGCAGAAGCCTGACAAGTATGCAAGTACATATTAGAAGTTTTGGACTTTGAAGACAGTTCTTACAGTAATGCACATACATGCTCCTGCTCTAGACAAAAGCTTTCCAGGAGTTTAGTATAGAGCTTTCACTTTGTTTTGAGAAAGCAGTAGTTAAGAAACACAGATCCAGGTAAGGATCTGTAAGCATTAGAATAAAGATCTTCACAAGGAAAAGTAATTAAGAAACAGAAGTGAAGACTGCAAGAGTAAGGATTCAGGCAAGAACATGTGCCACTCCGAAGTACATTATTCAAGTGTTAATTTGACTGATACTTGTCACTTGTGCCGTCTTCTACTGAAGATCTAGGACTTCAAGATCTTGTTACAGAAACAGAAGAACAAAGTTCTTCCCCAATTGCTTTAAAAAGAATAATGTGGAGCTACTGTTTTGAAAGTTTGGATTGATTTTAAGGTTGCAAGCAAAATATTTCCTGGTTTAACTGTAGGTTCTTCTTCTTATATAGGAAAAATATAACTTACTGCTAAGTCAAGACTGCCAACATATACAATCATAGGATTTTTCAAATAGGATTTTGCTAGGCGACGAACACCATCAGGCCAAGTAGCACTAAAGAGGAAGCAAAGAAGAAAAAAAAAAAACCAACACATGGCTCACTAATTTCATCTTATTCTTCTTTCTTTTCTTATACACTAGTGAAACACTTGAAGATGCAGTAACAGTAATGAGCTTACATAACATTGAGAAATCATCTTATTAGTAAACAGCACTCAACCTTTAAAGATAACTTTCTAGGTTAAAAGTACAGGCAAAAGTTATGGAGCCTTTCTAATGAAGCCAAAAGTGAGTTTTGTATTTCAGTGACACCTAACAAGCAAGTTCCTAGTAGTTTTCTAACTTCTAGAACAGCAGAAAATTTATTGTTGGGATATTTTACTGTTAAGATCCCAAAAGCTGCATAAATTTAAAATGAATCCAGGTACAGACTGTACAGACACTGATCAGAAGTTTAGGATACACGTTTGGTCAAAGTTAGCATTTCAAATTGATACAGCAGTTCTAGCACTCCCAGGACACGTTCCTTTTCGGGAAGATCTCGGTTTTTTTTTTGTAGTTGAGGTAAAACATCAAAAAAGGGGTATGAAATGAAATAAAATAAAATTATCAAATGACTCATTAAGACAGAACTGGAAAGAAAACTGATGCCATTATGCACCATAAAAGTTCCCATTTAGGCTGGTAGAAGTTTTAATAAAACTGAAATATTTATTCCAAAGTTAACTTATTCAAGTCCTGATGTTTACAGTGTTTAAGTACTGAGCACTATTATGTTTCCATACCTTGTCATAACAGTTTGTCTGTCAGGCCGCACATCTATCAGGATTTTCATAATCTGAGGTTCAAATCCCATATCCAACATCCTGTCAGCCTCATCCAAAACCTGCTCAGAACAAGTTTTAGTTCCTCAGGTAAGGGTTTCAGCAAGACAATACAGAGCAGACCATTTTAATGGTATCAGTTTTAATTGCAGAATCCAATCCATAATGTATTGCAAAATTTGTTCAACTTCTATTTCACCTCTTTGATTTCCTTGAAGCCTTTTCATTTCAAAACATATTTGTGGGCAAACCAAAAAAAATCCACAGCACCTTTGAGAGCACTTGAAGGAAAAAACAACTGTTTAACAATAATTTGGTTGGTGCCTAAAACTAAGCACAGTATTAAAAGAACAGCAAACAACAAAACCAACCAAATGCAAGGGAGGGCAGAAAAATGCGAAAATAGACACCCCACACTTTCACTTTGCAATTTAAAGGGAAAAAAAAATAAACCTCACTTCTAACTTGATATAGATCTTATACTAGGCCAAAATATCAGTTATCAATTTATTTTCTCATCAGAAGTAGGAAATAAGCCAGACTCTACATTCTGGCTCACACTAGGACACTACAAAACTCAAACCCATTTCATCTTGCAAAACAAAACAAAACCAAAGCACAAAAAACCAAAAGAGAACAAGTGAGATGAAGGCCTGAGTAAAACTATTTGGAACTAGTTTATTTTTCTCATATACAAGCATGCTTGTGGCTGTTTTCAGAGTCTTATACAAAGGAAGAAGTCTGGCTCCTTTAATTTTAATTTTTCTCCTTTAATTTTCAAATAGTGTTTATATAAACCAAAGTTATACAGCTCACACTTTTACGTACTGACATTTTCTAGTCACTTATGTGGAAGCATAAGACTTTGATGATAATGCCATTCTGTCCCGATTTTGCTGATCCATTCTTTTCAGATGTTTTATTCTAGTCAAGGTTTTTAGTGTATTATCTATGTAAATCTCCTGAAATTGATATTCAAAGGACTCGCAGAGATTTCATTAACTACTTGGATTCTAATACAGTGGCACGACTGAAACATCACTAATTTTGTATACAGAGTTGTCTACTATGCCCCTTGCAGCAACAGCAGTTTTCTAAGTTATTAAGCACACCGATACTTTGCTGGAAAGAAAGAAGAAAAAAAGTATGTATGCATATTAGCCATCTCAGAGTAGTTGAAATTCCCTTTCCTTATTTCTGATAGCTACTTAATAAAGAACAAAGACTATAATATACAGAAAATAGATATTAGCACTATATTTTTTCCAAATACCTCACCTCACAGCCAGGTCCTGATTTATAAGCTAGATCTTCCCCCAGCTGACATAATCTTAGGTTTCATGTTATCTACACATATTTACTTGTTAATATTTTTATTTCAGTTCTGCTTCTTGCCAAGAAATTCTAACAAGCCAGCTCTTCATGTAAAAATTATTTTCTTCCCTCTGTTTTAAATAAGTTATCAATAAGTTTTGCACTAGTTTTTGTATTTGAAGAATAAAACCTACTCCAATCTACCTTCTATGCCCTAATTCACGTGGGTTTTTTTTCAGTATATACTTTTCCCTAAATGCTTCCCAGTAATTCATGCACAACTCCAATTTCCTTACTTATGCTTTATGAGCATAAGGTCAAAAGAAAAAAAATCGCTTAGATTACTGATGAATGAATAGCAATTTATACCAAACACAGCAGAACAGAAAGCAATCTTCAAATGACATGTACTGCAAACAATCAAAAGGCTGTATGTGATGATTTCCCAGTCTTTCTTCTGAAATCATAAAACCCAGCCTATCTTGAATAAATAGGTTCCTAAAACCTGAATCAAGACTGCAACAACTTGACAGTTCTGTGAGGCAAGAAGACAAATTCTCTGCCTCAAATTCACCTTATGTACGGTCTATATTCAAACCTAATTAACTCTAACAGAGTTTGGGGTTTTGTTTATTTGTTTTAAACAAACAATTGTATTCTTATTTCTGACCTTGGAAGTCATTTGGAAAACAATTATATCAGCAAATAATACTTGTGCACCTTGGGAGCATTCATAAGACTCAGTGTCTTTAAATCAAAACTGTAAAAGAACCTCTTGAATGAACAGCATTCTTCATCAAAGGTGTTAAAGTTGAAATCTAATACCAGTCTCTTTTCTCTGAAATAAGGCTGCAAAATGAAACTTTTTTTTTGGGGGGAGGGGCTTAAGATTGATAAATGAAGATATGGAAATGGAAAGCATCTTATATATCTAAAAGTACAAGAAACTATGAGGAAAAAGATATAGTAACATTAAAAAGAGCATTTTGGATGTCCAGCTTTTCAAACAGACCTAAAGAAGCACAGCATTTCCAAAAAGTCTTAGGCACGAGACAACCACTTTGCAAATCACAGTCCTTGCACTGGTGTCAATCTTCTGAAAATATTTAACTTCTAGTGATACAACAAACAATGTTCTCCTGCTTTACATCATGAGGTTTTTCAATTAGATAGCTTATTTTTAGCTATCAAACTTAATATCATACTACAGTATACCTTGCATATACTGAAACATCCAGTTTTGGTTACATATATATTCTTTGCTTTAGAAAGCAGCGTGTGCTTGTAATATGACTGTACTCCACCTTGGCAGAGAAAGATTACTGATGTTCTTACAGTTCTCAGAAAGAAGGTTCTCAGGCCTTTCTTTCCTCCTTAGTAATTATATGTTACTCTCCTACATGAAACTACTCTCATGTCTCCCAATAATATTCTTTTTTTTTTTTTTCCCTAATGATACTATACCACCACGGGCCTTGCCAGTAAGTTCACAACTATTAACTAGAACTGGAGCTAACTTTTCAGCATGAGTATTTAACCCTTAGAGGGGAATGGGTGGAGAGAAGGGAGGAAAAGCGGGGCACATTGTTAAATGCCACCAATTAAACAGATAACTTGGAAATAATTTGAATACATGTAAGTATTTTACAAAATAGCAATGGATTTAAGCATCCAGCACAGAAAAAGGCAAGAATTAAATGAAGACATAAGGATTCATAATGATGTTTACATGGCTATTTTCCCTGAGATCAGAAGAAAGTCAGACACCCAAACATTTAAATATCTAATGCTGGTGCTTGCTGCACAAGTTCTAAGAACATGAGTCACTGGTAACCATGACAAGAAAAGGAAAAGAAAACTTCGAAAAGGCATTTCATCCATTAATAACTGATCCTGACAAAACTTGCTTCAAAACATCAAACTTGACAAATAAGAGATAAAAATTTAGCATCTTTTAAATGCTTACTGTACTAGAAGCCTGTTTTATATTTTTTTAGGGAATATTCCACATCTGCAATGCAATTATGGTAAGTACCAATCATCTCTCCAACACCAATCTCAATGTTAAGACCTATCGTAAATTTAAGACTTAAAAAGTTCAGAGGAAACTTCATTAAAGCTTAAGTTCACACCAAATCAACCATTACCCAACTGGTACATTATTCAGTCCATATCAGCTACTTGCCAGGTACGTTATGCTCTTCAAATTTATGAAGTTGTTCATTTGAAGATCATTCAGTCTGCCAGGAGTAGCAATAACAATATCCACACCTTTGGTAACCACGTCTATCTGTCCTTTTCGGTCCCCACCACCATATATGCAAATACTGAAAAACAAAGTGTTTTACAGAAGCAGCATATTAAGGTTCAACTAAAGCATTTTCAAATAAATATCACCATTTTGCTTTATTTTACAAAGCATCATCAGGTATTACCAAAAGGAAGGAATACAGTAAGTGTGACTTACAGTATCACAGGAAATAATGGACTTAACACTGAATGATCCTCCCTCAGCAGTTCAGCAATATCTCTCTGCTGAAACTGTAGTGAACGCAATCACGAAGGGGAGGAAGGTGTACGAGTATATTTTGGGTTGTTCTGAAGATATTCACACCAAAACCAGATGAACATATGAAAGGATGCATGATTTTATAAACAGTATCATCAAAAGTCAGACATGCTTTTGTTAAAACAATCAATGCACTCAATAAGGTATCGGGCTTACTCACACAAACTCAATGTGCTCTGTAAAACTCAACAGTATTTTTGAGAAGGAAGCAGAATGTACATCTCAGTATTTGATGACTAATTCTGAATGCTATACAAAGCTATCAGAGAGCCCTGAAAGTTAAGTTTTGGAGTACAGTAATGTCTGTTTAACAGCTTAAATGAAGACGTACATTCTCAGAAGGTTTGTGGATGAAACCAAACTGGGGGAAGCAGTCAACACAGTAGAGAGCTGTTATTCAGAAAAGCCACAAAAGGCTGGAGAAATGGGCTGACAGGAATTCCATGAAGATTAACAAAAGCAAAGATGGGGATAGAATTATCCCATGGCTGAGGGGCAACATTCTAGAAGATGGCTTTGCACAAAAAGAGTTGGGTGGCTAAGGAACTGACCATTATCCAACAACGTAATGCCACAGAAAAGAAAGCCAGCTGTGTACTATGGAGAAGGTAGCCAGAAGGTTGAAAGCGCTCTTTATTCTCTTTTATTCAGCACCTGTGAGATGACACCTCAAGCACAACATCCAGTTTTTTTACCCCCTGCCTCTATTACAAGACACGTATATTCATACTGGAGCAGGTTCAGCAGGCAGCTACCAAGAAAGTAAAGGAGATGGGGTGGATTACATGAGAAACTGGTAACGAAGCTTGTTCAGCCTGAAGAGGAGGCTTGGAAAGACCTTATTGCTGTCTACAACTAACCTAACAGCAAGGTGCCGAGGAGACAGACAAACTCTTCTCAGCTGTCCACACAGAAAAATAAGAAGCAACAAAGCTACAATGCAGAGAACTCCAACTATGTAAGAAACAGACTCTCACTATGACAGTAGTCAAAACAGGCATTCTAAAAAACTAGGAAAATATGAACTCTGCAATTACTACCTTCACCTCCTCTCTTAGCAAATGCCTTATTTTAGTAGGTGAATTAAACCACAAGTGGTAGGGAAAAAAAAACGAAACTTAAGAAGCAAGATTACCTTTTAATTCCTTTGTATGTGTACTTCAAACATTCTGCCTCTACTTGAAGAGCCAGCTCTCGAGTAGGAGCAAGGACTAACATTCCTGGCCCCCCACGCTGATCTTTGGATCTGCAATAAGAAGCTCTAGAATGTGGGTATAAGGCTAGACAAAATCCATCACAACTGATATTGAATGTTTTCATACTGTTCTAGACTTTCTCACTGCACTGCTAATGTAATCTATGGTAACCAATTTGGTACTTTTTCCACCAGGTTATAAATCATACAATTATATGAATTTTATTAGCTTTACTAAAAAAACATCATATGAGGGGTAGGGGCAGGGGAAAGTATCCACAGCTAAACAACTCAAGCATATCCTTACATTGGTTGTGAAGTCAAGTGAATGAATCCAGGCATTAAGTATGCTAATGTCTTCCCAGTACCAGTCTGTGCTATACCAATAAGATCAAGTCCTTGAAGTATGATTGGCCATGCCTGGGACTAACATAAAACAACAAATACTTAAATGCATTTTTCTCTAAAGCTTCAGTTAGAGTCATCAAAATTGAAGACATACCTGAATTGGTGTAGGCTTTTGAAAACCAGCTTTTCTTATATTAGCCATAATATCAGGATAATGCTCAAATACATCTTCAAACTTACAAACAGGATTGGGAATGGAGCGCTTTTCACCTTCTTTTAAGTCATCACAAATTATATTATTATTTTCTTTCCTGTATAGAATTAAAGAAGTGCAATTGCTTTAAAGTCTCATTATCTGAGAAAGTAGAGCTAACAAAAAAGACTGCCTTTCTGATTCTTTTTTAATTCCTGAAACAAAAACCTCCAAGTTCAGATTCTTGAATGAGACTTATAAGTATTCTAACTTTAAGAAAGCCTTTCTACAAAAACACTTCTCCTGGAGGCATCAATTACCATTCTTTCTTAAGAAAGACTATTGTGAAGTTATATATTGTTATTAACATGAACTGCAGTCCTGTCATATTAGGCTTCAATTATATTCTATTACAAATGAGACAACTGTGTCAAGTTTTTAAACCTAAAGACAAGCCAGAATTCAGAGGAATGGACTGGACTTCTTTGTCAGAACCCTATGTTCTGCCAAAAGCCTTCCTGAAATACTTTCAGAGCAGTTTTCTGGAAGCTCTGTAAAATACAAACAATAGTTTAGAAAAAAGAATGTAGTCAGCAAGACAAGCTCAGAAAAATACCCAAGCAAAACCCAATCTCCAAAACCAAACAACCAAAACCCAAACCGCAACATGCACAGAAAAAGCTACACTAAACACTGAGGTTCCAAGGCTCCCCCCAGTTAAGAGGTATTAATATGCATAAGTAATTTATTTTCATTCCAGCCCTGTACTCTTCTGAAGATTCTATTCAGCAAATAGCTTTACTTCAAGCAGGATGTGAGCTAGGAAAAACATGGGTAATTTGAGTTTTTCTCATGTTTAAAAAAAATACATTTTCTTTTTTCAATTACTGTTTTGTCTTAAAGCAAACAGATTAGATGAAAAAGGAAGAACATTTCTTTATCTCACAAGAAAGTGCTCTTCCTCAATACATATTCTGAACCTACATAAAAATGTTCTGCTGTGCTTGACTAGCTCTAACAATAACACATATCTATACTTTAAAGAAACAGGCATCAGTTCCATACTTTACTCATTGTGGCAAGGTTTCCCTGATGGGCATGCAAGAGAAAAAAAACCAAAACCAGACACCATGCAAAAAGAAAAGTAATACAAGGTACCTGAAATTTGTTTTGAAGACAGTATTTGACTAAAACATACAGAGAAGAAAATGGCAGCCAAGAAGTATTCAAGATGTGAACAATCACATTTGGAAGGACCTAAAAAACGGGAACATGCTGTCTCATGAAATGTAAGGAATATCCAAAGGCCATTGAACTGTCTGGTTTATTTTTTCCCCTCTGAAAGTCAACCATATAAAACACTTGTAGAGAAATTTTCCAAGCAACTAATATAATCTCATCTGGTAAATATTGTTTAATTACTAAGAAAAAGTTCCAAGTTATTACAAGACCCTACCATTAATGCTGCTGTCTCAGTAGTTTATCATCCACTTTCTGGGCTTTATTCTTTAATATCAATTCCTGCAAAACAGACGATTCCCTGTAGAAAAGGTCTTACCGCCACAGCTCCACTTCTTCTTGTGACATAGATGCTGTTCTTGATGATTCTTTATAGAAGTTTTTCTCTATTGGAGGCAAGTCTTAAAGAGTCAGGAAAAGTAAACTTCAGTACATGCAAAAGAACTGCTTGCCCGCATTTCAAGTTCTAAAGTAATTTCTCCTAACACATACTATAGTATTTCATAGAATCACAGAATTGTTTGAGTTAGAAGAGACCATTAAGATCACCCAGTTCCAACCCCTTTACATGGGCAGGGACACTTTCCACTAGACCAGGTTGCTCAAATCCCTGTCCAACCTGGCCTTGAACACTGCCAGGGATGGGGCAGCCACAGCTTCTCTGGGCAACTTGTTCCAGTGTAAAGCCATTCCCGCATGTCACAGAATCATAGAATCGTTAGGGTTGGAAAGGACCTTAAGACCATCTAGTTCCAACCCCCCTGCCATGGGCAGGGACACCTCATGCTAAACCATCTCACGCAAGGCTTTGTCCAACCTGGCCTTGAACACTGCCAGGGATGGAGCATTCACAACCCCCCCCGGGCAACCCATTCCAGTGCCTCACCACCCTAACAGGAAAGAATTTCCTCCCTATATCCAATCTAAACTTCCCTCCTTAAGTTTTAACCCATTACCCCTTGTTCTGTCATTACAGTCCTTAATGAAGGATCCCTCCCCAGCATCCTTATAGGCCCCCTTCAGATACTGGAAGGCTGCTATGAGGTCTCCACGCAGCCTTCTCTTCTCCAGGCTGAACAGCCCCAACTTCCTCAGCCTATCTTCATATGGGAGGTGCTCCAGTCCCCTGATCATCCTCGTGGCCCTTCTCTGGACTTGTTCCAACAGTTCCATGTCCTTTTTATGTTGAGGACACCAGAACTGCACACAATACTCCAAGTGAGGTCTCACAAGAGCAGAGTAGAGGGGCAGGATCACCTCCTTTGACCTTCTGGTCACGCTCCTCTTGATGCAGCCCAGGATACGGTTGGCTTTCTGGGCTGCAAGCGCACACTGAAGCCGGCTCATGTCCATTTTCTCATCGACCAGCACCCCCAAGTCCTTCCCCACAGGGCTGCTCTGAATCTCTTCTTTGCCCAACCTGTAGCTGTGCCTGGGATTGCCCCGACCCAGGTATAAGACCTTGCACTTGGCATGGTTAAACTTCATGAGGCTGGCATTCCTTCCCTCCAGTGTATCAACTGAACCACACAGCTTGGTGTCATCGGCAAACTTGCTGAGGGCGCACTCAATCCCATTGTCCATGTCAGTGATGAAGATGTTAAACAAGACCGGTCCCAACACCTATCCCTGAGGGACGCCACTCGTTACTGGTCTTCAGCTGGACATGGAGCCATTGACCACAACTCTTTGCGTGCAGCCATCCAGCCAGTTCTTTATCCATTGAGTGGTCCATCCATCAAATTGATGTCTCTCCAATTTAGAGACAAGGATGTCGTGTGGGACAGTGTCGAACGCTTTACATAAGTCCAGGTAGATGCCATCAACGGCTCTACCCCTGTCCATCAGTTCTGTAGCCCCATCATAGAAGGCCACCAAATTGGTCAGGCAGGATTTCCCCTTAGTGAAGCCATGCTGGCTGTCACCAGGCACGTTGTTGTTTTTCGTGTGCCTTAGCATGCCTTCCAGGAGAATCTGCTCCAAGCTTTTGCCAGGCACAGAGGTGAGACTGACTGGTCTGTAATTCCCCAGGTCATCCATTTTCCCCTTCTTGAAAATGGGAGTTATATTTCTCTTCTTCCAGTCATCAGGAACTTCACCTGACTGCCATGATTTTTCAAATATGATGGACAGTGTCTTAGCAACTTCATTCGCCAGCTACTTCAGGACTCACGGATGGATTTCATCAGGTCCCACGGACTTGTGCATGTTCAGGTTTTTAAGATGGTCTCGAACCAGATCCTCTCCTACAGCAGGCCCAGGGTTTTCATTCTCACAGTCCCTGTGTCTACCTTCCAAGACTTGGGTGGTGTGGTCAGAGCCTTTGCCAGTGAAGACCAAGGCAAAGAAGTCATTCAGAACCTCAGCCTTCTCCAAATCCTGTGTAGCTAGTTCTCCCGAGAGCTTCCAGAGGGAGCCTACATTGTCCCTAGTCTGCTTTTTGTTTGCTATGTACCTGTAGAATCCCTTCCTGTCACTATATGCCCTTGTATTTAGAGGTCTCAGTTTTTCTGCTGCAGCCACATACCAAACAACACTGTAAAGGGTGAAGTCAAAATACTAATTGAGTAGCAAGAACTACTTGATTATGTAGGTCCTCCATGACCATGCTGAGAAATGCTGATGTGGTCATTTCATTGCAAAAACTTTAACTAAATTGGACCTTGAAAGATTCCAACATCTCAAAGCAAAAATTAAAACATTTACACATTCAACAGATTTATTACATAAAGACAAGTACTAATACAACTGAAATTTTAAAACTAACCTGCCCACTTCATAGCTTCATATTTAGCTCTGTTTTCTCGAAGATAGGCCCAGTTAATCACTGATTGCGTTGGGTTATCTTTAGGCTTGATAGTGTCCAAGGTTTTTCCTGTTGTGAAAAAACTGCTGTTTGATGGAATCTGTTGCAGGGTAAGTGAGAAACCCCCCCTCAAAACAAACACTTTATTTTCTTTTTTTTTATTGTATGGCCTCTCAAGTAATTTTTAATAGACATGAAGCATTTAAATAGAAAATTCTTTCTTAGATCTTAGTCTGAAACATCAATAAAATCTGTACAAATGCAGTTCTAATAAAAAAAAAGAAAAAAGAAGCATTTCAACATCTTCAGCTACTTAAAAAAAAAGTGGCAACAGGTTCTGAAATGCTGCTCCTCCAGCTATAAGGCTTGTTGTACAGCAGGCTTTTGAAAAACTTGTGAACCAGTAGATGATATGCAGACAGAAAGCTTTATTTTTAACAGCTACAAAAAGTAAGGTTTACTTCTAAAGTATCCAATGACACCACAATGAAGTCCTGGTGCAGTTACACTCTATACTTCTTTTTTGACGAGATTAACACTTCACAAAGGTTTTACACTGAAGATATAAATGGCAACACAATTATGTATTGATGTAAAAGCAGGAAACACATGGAAAACACAGTAACCCGTACTAAGGAAACTTTATTCCTAGCCTCTTGAAACATTCACCTTCTGTGGCACTTTTAAACTCAAAACTCAGAACTACCCTATTCCTTATTCTAACACTGGAACACAACTCTCAGATCCCTTCTTCCTCATCAGTGCCTCAGATCAACAGCCATGGATATAGTTTGCCTGTACAAAAAGTCATTGGGAGCACACAGACAAATACCAGTAAGTAGCATCTCAACATACAATCATTACTTATAAATCCACATAACTAACTTTAGACAATAAAGCCTAGTAAAGAGAGGCATGATGTGCAAGACCAAATCTTAAATGCCAACCTGCCATGAAAGCAGTAAAAAGTCAGCATTGCCCATGCTATAAACAGTATGTTTGCCTTATACAATCATAAAAACTTACAGGGCTTTAATACTGCACAGATACTACTTTAAAACTTAAACTAGAGCAAATGCTTGTATTCTGGAGAACCAGACTGATAATGCAAGATACCAAGTAGTCTAACATTCTGCATTCATTTAAATTGTTGAAAACACACAGCAACTCATTTTCACAGAAGTCTGGCCATTTGAAAGGGGAAACTTTTCACAACCAAGAAAGGAGGATGTCTACATATTTCTGTTTTAAGCAGGTATGCCACTGTCCAAAAACAAGGTGAAAGTTAATTCAGTTCAGTAGTATATTAATAATATAAAAGCACTCCATCAAACTACCAAATGCATGGAAAGATAATCCACAGTATTTTTTAAACAAACAACCCCCGAACAATAACATAAAAACCGCAAATCCCAAACACACAAATCCCTAAACAAATTCCTTACCTTTCTCACTCCCACCTCTACTGTAGTTTTGTCCAGATCTTGTAACAGCATCATCAATCAACATCTTGGCTTTGTTTTGTACAGCAACACTGCCAAAAATCTTTACTTCAGCTTCATAGGCTCCCTTTATCACCTATGTTCATAAAACCTTACTGAGTTTTTTTAACACCACAATGACAAACTTTATATAGAAATATATACTTAAAACAGTCTTTGATATTTTTTTCCTGAATTTCAACTTCTGAGGGAATTAAAGTGCCTTTTCGTTTCTAAAAAGGTAATAAGTGCATACTTAGGGGAAGAGTATCAGTAAGCTTCTCAAGTCAAGCTACACCCTCAATTACACTTCATTTTCACCAATTCTCGTAAAACAGTAGAATTATTACAGCTATTGCAGCACACTTCGAGTTGCTGCATTAACTGATTTACACAAAAGCAAAACCAATCACGTTCACAACATAGTCCAGGCCTTAATGACACACAGAACATGGTACCTTTATCCTGGAACCTGAAGAATCCTCAAGCTCTCTTATTTTACTTCCACCCCGACCTGTAATAAAGATACACTGTTAAGTGTTACAGAGATTCAGGCCAAACTGCCAGAAACTACGCATGGTAAATGCTTAGCATTTTGGTTGTGACCAAACCCTGAGACCTTCACAGGAGTACCTGCATTCATAAGTAAAACAACCTGTGACATCAAACTGCTGGAAATGCAGGTAACTTATGTGTCAATTAGCCAAATACAAGGTGCATGGGGGTTGTGTGTGAAAGCACCTCAGATAGAGCAGCAAAATCACCTCAAGAGAGAACCGTTCTTCCTCCAGACGAGAGGGGCTTACACTGCTGGCTATGAGAAGCAGACACCAAGCCAACAACTTCGAGGAGGAAAAACTCAGCTACCCTGGCGAGTGGGAGAGCTCCACTCCTCCGTGCAGAAGGCAGCAGTGCACCTCCTCAGGATGCAGAGGGACGGGCAGGGGCCCACAAGAACGAACCTCTCGGCGGCCGGCTCCTCTCCTCCTCCCCCACCCGCTTACCTCAGCAGGCCAAGCGCCCGAGGTGTGGGTGTGCGGCCGTTATTACCTATGAGAGCTCCGACCAGGGCGCTGTCGAGGTGGAAGCAAAGGGGCTCCGCGGCGTCACCATGCTGGCTAGCGGTAGCTCGGGACCGCCACTGCCGCGCCGCCTTCCCTGGGCCAAGGGGACTCTCAGCGCCTCGAGGCTCCCACTCCTCCTCTCCGAGGCCGGGCACTGCCGCCACTGCCGCCGCCGCCGCATCCTCCCGCCACCACTCAGCGCTCCTTCGTCCGCCGCCGCCCGCTATGGAGGCGTGACTCTGCGAAGGGGTAGGCGGCGGCTGGCGCAGGCACCCAGGAGGAGATGGCGGCTGACCCGTACCGACGTCCTCATCGCTGCCCGTGTCCCAGTCAGACATGCCAACAGCCCTACTAGCCGCCGCTGACCATATGCGAAACCTTACCGCGCTGTAGGCTAGGAGCGAGCTGACTGGCCAGGACGGGCAGCTCTCTAGCAGTGATTGGCTGGCTCGGAGAGGGGAGAACCTATGACCGTCCCTGCTGAGTCCGGGGCTGAGCTCTCGCGGTCTCCGCGCTCAGGGCTGCAGGGTCCTAAGTCCTGATTTCTCGCTCCCTTACTTCTCCTGTGCCGGCTTGGGCTGCACTGAGGAGGGGGAGGCAGCGGTGTTTTAGGAAGGGAGGGAAAGAAGTCGGTCCTGAACGTGTGGGAAGGCACAAGTCTGTAGGGTGCAGGGGGAGAAGGCAGGCAGCCTCAAAGGAGGCTGGGGAGGGAGGGTGGCACCGGTTTTGCTAGGTGTCTAGGCTAATGTCATGCTGATACATTGCAGCCTGAATTTTTTAGGGAAGTCATATTTAAACTCAAATTAAGGTTTAATGATGCTTTAATGAAGATATTGGTTTGACCGAAGGTACTAAAGCTGATACAATATTGCAAACAGAATCACAGAAGGGCAGAGGTTGAAGGGACCTCTGGAGGTCATCTTGTCCAGCCCCCTGCTCAAGCAGGGACACCAAGAGGTGGTTGTCCAGGACTGTACAGGTAGCTTATAAGTATCTCCAAGGATGGAGACTCCACAAACTCGCTGGGTAACCTGTGCCACTGCTCGCCCAGGGTCACAGTGAAAAAATAATAATAATGTAAAGAAAAAGCTTCAGTTACACTGAATGTCTGCTTAGCAAGGGCTTTTAAATTTTCCTTTTAGGCATGGTACAGGGCTGAATGGTGAACACTGATGTATGTGTCTTTATGGGTGACATGACTACCTGTGCCTGGCTGTTGTGACCTGCAGGGTAACTCAAAAAGGAAAAACTTGGCACTGCTGCCTTCTGACACTTCCCTGCTATGTCTATGTACACATGAAGCAAGATTGCCTGTTTTAGTAGAAGAAGAGCCTGCATACATGTTTGACTTTTTTCCTGTCCTGTGTTTATTCTTAGGCAGAGCTTGGTAGTGTTTACATAGCCCATGGGTACCAATGGCGGACATGGAAAATCTGCCTTTCTGGAGACTGCATCTTCAAATTTCAATATCCAAGATTTCACTCATCACAGACATAGGGGGTCGTCTGTGCATGGAAATTATGCTCTGTTTTGAAGCCTCCACAGAGACAGTGACTTCACCACAAGAACAGGTGCTATAGATTTAATACATTCAAATGGTAAAGCTTATCTTCAGCAGGACTGCAGGAAGAGCAAAGTGAGGACAGAAGGCTGTAGGTATGGTGCAGTATCATTCTAGAGCAACTTCCACGATTCAACACAGAGGAAAGGGCTTTAACTAGGCCTCAAGTTAAACTGAAGTAGCAGATCAGCCTTCCCTGAGGGATCCTGCTCTTTGCACAGGCCCCTGATTGCTGATCCCGAATCAATTACTGTTTATCTAACAGGGAAGGTAATAATAACTTCCAAACTCATTTTAATAAAGGTGCTGAAACATGAAGTAAACTCTGCTGTAAAGGGTAACCGGAAACTGAACCTATCAGACTGGTTTGTGTGCATTTTATTCTAGCTCAATTCCAGTTTGGTCCATTCAATAAAAATACAAAATTTCAAAAGGAAAACAGCAAGCAAGTTTAAATTCTTGCCTGGTACATGCTAACACCACACAATCTTTTACGTAAGGAAAAAAACCCAGTAAGCATGGTACTTTTAAAATCATTTTTATTAACAACAATATGGATTCAACGTTGTCAAGAAGTTACAATTAACATTGTAATGTACTGGCTAATGTTGCAGTGTCAGTGGAAGCAGCCTTCATCATTTCTTAAGCCTCTTATGAAACTGTCTTTTTATCTTTCAAAGAAGTAAAAAATGCTTCCAATAGCAGATCATATTGGATATGTCTGAAATTGTCCTATATGTAGCCACAGCTAAATGAACAGCCACATTTGCACCCAGATGAATGGACAGGAAAATATTACATGCTTCCACTGACGCTGCAGGGGACAGTTCTTATTTTAAAAACCAATTAACCTTTGTAGACAGTGACAGCACTTTGTGTGATGTTGTAATCCATTTTAAGTCGATTAACACACTTGAAAAAAAATGTGAAGCAGAAATATCTGGGGCAAATTCTTTTCTGACCTGTATTTCATCCAAACCTAATGAATCCAAAAGGATTGCATGATATATGAGTCAGGATAAAAGTTGGCCCAGAGAGGCAAGTTCATTCCTGTTATAGGTGGGTTCAGTTCCTTTAAGCTCACTGGAACTGAGCCTGATTATCCCAATGGAGGCTGAACTTCACCCAGTTGGGCAGTGAATTCATTGAAGTCAGTGAAGCCATCCAAGGATGAATTTAGCATCAGGTGGTTAAACTCTTTTTTCATTCCTTTGCTGTTATATATTCTTTTCCTGCTTACTCCTTTCTTTCTGATTATTCTCCTTTTCTCTGTACTTTTTAAAAATGTCCCTTCTCTTCATCCCTTTTTACATCAGTACTTTGTGCGTTATTTTTTATATAGTCAATGTGACATGGGTAAATTCAGCTAAGTATTAGTTTCCTCAGGAAATAAATGGAATATTACCATTTTCACTTTAAACAGGTGCCCAACAAACTAAGGATTTGAACCTGAGCTCCCAATTCAAGAAAAAATATTTAATTCCATAGAATGAAGCATTCTGTAGAATTTTTGCTTGAGTAAGGATTGCAGGTCCCAATCCAGAAATACTATTGTACACCAGATGTTCTACTATACATCAGCAATTTGATATCATTTGACCTATCACAGAAGAGCAGGTGAATTACTCATCACCATACTGTAATGAGAGCAAGTCTCTCTAAGTAGGATTATCTCAAAAATATATGGGACAACCATGGGCACTGTGAATAAAAGTGTATGATCTTTGCAATCTTGAACCCTAGGCTAAAACACCATATTCATATTTAAATAAAAAGTATAGATCATATAAGCCAGGAGCAAATACAATTTTTTTAACAAGTAATAAACATCAAAACTATTCTTTTCTTTTCTCTCTTCAATCAGGTGCTAGAAACATGCTGATCAGAAAACAGTTGCTTGGATAAGGCTTAATTCCTGAAGCTCTTACGTAAGTTCAGATTCTGTCTTCAACAATCCTCAAATGGATTGTAATCAGAAAAAAATTTGTCCTTTGTCCCTGCTCATGAACAATTCCTATTAGCTGTCCTGAGCTGGACTTTAAGGAGCTCAGTACAAGACTTGAAAAGCCACACAAGTCCTTCTTTTGTGAAACCAATGAATGACTGTCACTCATGACACTGTCTTTTAAAGCGAAAGCATAGAAACAGGAAACTCCTCATGAGGAAATATGAGCAAAGCTTATAAAAATCCAAACAAACAATTCTTCCTCTCCAGAACGTCATATATTCACTCTATTTTCTATCAGTATTATGTTAAAAAATTCCTACATGATAAGACTTTCAGCTACAAAAATAATAATGGTGAGCATAAAAGAAAAAAAAAATAGGATTTTAAACCATAATTTGAAAAGATACGAACTTCTGGATTTATTAGTACTTTGTAAAGACATTAACATTTTTCATACATAATTTATAGAACTCATTCTTTTGTGCACAAAATTGTATTAAATAAATTAACTTAAAGTTAGAAGGACTCAAGCATGTCATTTAAGGCAAAAATACCAAGTTTCTGTGAGATAAATTATCAGCAAAACCAAGGCCCTGTTTCTGTGCGGAATTGGTACAGGCAGGGCCAATGCTCAGTTCTCTCATTGACACCTTCTGGGTCAATGGGGCTGCAACCATCTGCTCACGCAGATGAAGGTGGAAGAATGGTGTCCAACTCATGATGCCTTGATTTTTCAATCTTATCAAGGAGGGGAAGGGAGTTTCAATACTGACACACAGTTGCCACGTGCCCCACCTCTTAAGTGATCCTAAGTGCAGGTTTATGCTTAAGTCAGTAGGAGGCTCCATATGAAAGGTGACCAAGGCACCATAAAGAGTTAGGAAAAATAACGAAAAGCCTAAAACCCCCAACCTTGTAAGTTTTAAAATTTTGGATAGTACTCTAAACTTATAGATCTGTCTGGGTAAACTGCAGACATTCAAATAAGTTAATAGTTAAATGAACTGAGATGTGGAAAACACCCACTATTTATCCTCACAAAGTTACTGTTGTAATCACACTTTAGTATGTCAGACTGCACATAAAAGAAAACAGGAAAGGCTGAATGTGGTAAATCATATGGCAAATCAGTGGTGAGGAAATTGTGCTTCAAGGTGTCTTTCAGGATTTAACAGCTGAAGTTTGCTCCAGCGTGAGCCATGGAACACAGTGTACTATCCGTGGACCCCGTATAATGACACAATATATACACTCTACAGTTTGCATGTACTTTCACATAATAAGGTTGTCATGTAACATCCAGGAATACTTCTGTAAAGGAGATATGGAAGCAGAAATTACAATGGTTTTATAGTAAACAGATCAAGTCCTTCACAATACAATCTACAGCATTTAGCCATGGTTAAGACTGGAGTGATGTTTTTGATGTACATAGTAAGTTCCCAGCAGGTCTGGGCCTTGAGAAAACACCGCCCTGAGTGAGCTGGCACTGGCACCCCCAATACATTCGGTGTTCCTGCTGCTAGAGGGAAGCTGAGCCCAAGTTGGGTTGTCTACAAGCTTGTGGTGCAGGTGGGTTATAGAGCTGGGGGAAGGCAAAGCACAGAAACTTCGTTCAGCTGGGAAGACCAAAAGCCTGTTTAGGCTCTGAAGGGGTTCTCCCAGTGGCGAAGCCTTACTGGGGATGTGCAGATAGGCACTAATATTG